TTATTAGATTTTTTGTTAAATTTAGACTACAGTTGTACATTCTTTTACTTTCTCAAGCTCACTTTTGTATATTTGTTTCTTTAATGTCTAAAGGTAATTTTTGACATAAAACTGCCTAATAGAGGGGGGGGGGGGGCACGACCAAAAGGGCGCAATTTTTAATTTTGCCACACAGTTCTAGCCCTACCACATACTTTTGGAAGAACCTGCACTTTTGAGAAAGGATTCGAGGAGGATTGCGCGTTGTGGAATTTTGTTAATTCAAAACAATCTTATCTACAAATGCATAATAATACATATTTTGATAATAATAACACTTCAACAACATTGTCTATATATAATTTCCGCATTATGGGTGGCCATGACATTAATTCTAGTAGTTTCAATTAATTCTACAATTTATTCTTTGATGTTTAGATCATTATGCTTACTATCGTTTTTCTAATGATATGAACGAATCTCATGTTGCTATGATAGTTAGTCCATTTTTTGCTCACACTGATACACAATGCGAATTGCGTTTTCGGTTTAATCTGAGAGCAGATTCCAGGTTAGAGTTTCGCAACTCAAAGAATACTCATCGAATAGCAATTGAATTCATCTAGGTCTGGAGCCGGGTTGTTAGTTACAACGGAGCAGTTGTCACTCAGACGTTCATTTAGCAATTCAAAAGAGTCGACCTCTAATGGCAACCAAGCAATGGATGAGGAAGATGAGGCAGATTGGATTCGGCCTATATTAAGGTAATCTTGTGCAAATTGCTAGTTAAATGCCTCATGATTTGTAGCAAATTAATTTGCACATTTTTATTAAGGGAACGCTTCGAACCGGATACTTCGACTGATGCTTCTGCGATGTATGTTTTTTTGCAAACACTTAGAAAATAATTGAGAAATTAAAGATGGTCTCATGGGCGAGTTCTTCTTGGGCAATTTGATTTTCCAACACGAATACGAATTGAATGTCATCCCTCTACAACAGCTATGTCAGATGGTGGAGTTCTCAATGTTGAATGCAAAATTGATGATTTACATTTGATAAACTGTGCAGGTAAGTTCAGTTAAAATTTCCTTGTGATAATTTAAATTAAAACAGAGAAAGAATGGAGATCTACTGATGATATGAGTGCATGCCCAAAAGGAAGAGATTCATGTCGTCCTTTTGGGGCAGATCAGCAGAAGCGAATTTGTCTGGATGATTATCAAATTTGTGACATGGTGGGTCATATATTCTACATGTATAGTATAATTATATCAATAGCATGCTGATTGTGCTGATGGTGAGGACGAGTCGGATGAGCTATACAAATGCTGTAAGTCTAAAATTATTTAAATGATTTAGGTTTGGATATTTTATTGTTTCCCAATAATGTTCCTTTTTAATTTTTACATCACAAGTTATAAAGATACTTTTTCTAGTTCAAGTACCTGAAGGAGCTCGCTGTGATTTTGAAGACATGCGCTGGCTGCCAGCAGGTTCTTATTATTTTCTTGGTAATTAATTTTGGCTTATCAGGATGCGCACAATGGCGTTTCTTCAGCAGCCTATCAGCAGGCCGATACAAAAGCAGAAATGATTCTTTTGGATTATTGACATCAGGAACTACATCACATTTAGTTTGTTTTGTTTATTCTTTAGTTTAAAAGTTCTTGCAGGTCTCGTTAGAAAATGGACAAACACAACGACCTGGAATTCCACCCAGTGAGTGATAACAGGAGCTTATCTTTTTAAAATTATTTTTACAGGATTCTATTACAACGAGGGACGACTCTTCAAACCGGGCCATTTTTTATTTTTTTCAAGGTTAATTGCTTATATTTCTTTACTTTAAACATATTACAGTTATGGTCATATTCATGATGGCCAACATGACATATTGTAAGTTAATATTGTAGTTAGATTTGACCAAATAAAATTGTTTTTACAAAAGGTATTCGTTTGCTTTGTCTCCACCATTACCTATCCAGAGAAATCCTGTTGATTCAACGCGTCAGTGCATGTTGCGCTTTTTCTATTGCCTTACTGGATTTAGTCCATTTCAAATATTCCTTCAATTACGTGATAAGCCAAAAGAAGTTGCTAAACCACTTTGGGCTCCACCTCACGATGAACATGTCCGTGAACCATGTGAATGGCATCGAGTTTCCGTTCATATTAAAACCGAATCGTTGCTCATCAATGAAGATTATTCCCTCAAGTTAGGCTTCGCCAAATTGGCCGGTTCTATGGGTTCAATTGCTATTGACGATCTGTCATTGAGTCCGGATTGTTTTGGTAAGCAAATAATTATTGTTAAATTATATAGCCAAGCTAAAAACTTGCTATATGGTATAATAAACTTTCACATCTCTAGGAGTTAGATACTCTTTGCTTCCTGCGGTGCTTTCAATTATTGATGAAGAGCAACGTGGTAATGTTAGTGAATGGATTGTACCATACACAGGAGAATATCGGTACGTAATGTATTCAAAAAATAATTGAACATTTTTCACAAATTTAAGGTTGGAAATGGCTGGCGCTCCAGGTGGCAACTTTGTTGGCGAAGCTAGCGATAACCATGCAACTTGGGCTGATAGTTTAGCGGTAAACTTACGTCTGAATGCCGGCCAGCAAGTTAAATTATTTTTGGGACAAGAAGGCAGATGTATTTGTGATAAAAACAGAGAAAATCTTATGGGTGATCAAAAGGATCTAGTTGCTTTATATTAACTTATTGTTTTCAATTTGCATTTCTTAGAGTGAGAAGCTTTGTTCATTAACAGCCGACGATCTGAACAGCGTAATCAGTGACTCATTGAGTTTTCCAGGCTGTAGCGGTGGCGGTGCTACTATATTATTTATTGGAAGCAATCCTGTTGTTATAGCTGCTGGTGGCGGTGGTGCTTTCCCTTTAAATCCAATCCAGTATGTCATAATCAAGAGTTATAAATTTAATGTGATTGAATAGGATTGACAAACCCGGACAACTACCAACGATTCTATCAGCCTCAAATGGACTTTCAATTTCTGATCATATAAGTGATCAACAGCATACACGGTTTGATAAGTCAATTCTTCTGGAGCAGCGTCATTGTCCACCAGGGAGCAGATGGAATTTACCTGGCGGAAAAGGTGGAGGAGGGTAAATTTTTTATATGCAAATGATTTAATTTAAACAAATTAAATAGAGCTTCCTGCAACGCAGGTGGAGGGGGTGGTGGCGGTTATCAAGGTCAATTTTAATTTACTATTTTATTAACGAATATTGTTGTTAGGTGGTTCTGGTGGATTAGTTGGGCCTGGTTTGCCAGGAACAAGTGCAGTTATCCGTACAAATGATATCATAGGCGATCATTTAATTTTAACAAAAAGTAATCCAAACCGTGCTTTTGCTTCCATTATAGCCTGCCCACAACGTGATTGCCCATCGGGGTAGATTTTATTCTGTTTTGAAATCATTTGAGTATTTAATTAGGTCAAATTGTACATTTGGAACAATAACGACACTTTCCGAACAAAGAAATGGATCTATATCACAACCAAAATGTATATGCCCTGATGGGAGTGTTATAGAGCCTAATAGTTCAAGTATCTGTCAGATCGGTAGTATTTTTAACTACAATTTATCTTAATTTTATCTTCAAACTTTTAGATTCTCCAATACTTTACAATATTTTTGGCCAACTATCAGTTACCGTTCAAAGATTTATAGCTGGTATTAAATTTTATTTAATATAACTTTATTCATTAAAAAGAAATTGACCGTTTTAAATTTTCAATAGCTTGTCTGCTTGTTATCTCAATGTTTCTATCGCTGATATGCTGTTTCAAAATAATATATCGTGCACGTGGTTGTGGAAAGAAACTCAGTCCGAGCCCATCTGCTGATGTGCATGAGCTAATTGCTATTGTATCTGGTAAAGATAATAGACCTGTCGCTAGCAACAACGACAATTGCTTGTATAGTGATACCAACTTTGGCATAAGCGGGTATATAAATTTATGCGTGTATCCATAATTTTTGTTTTCAGTAATCCAATTTACGAATCATTGAGTTTAACTCCACTAAAGCAGATTCCTAGACACTCGCTTAAATTAGACAAGTATGTATTATTTAATTAGTGAATTGTTTGTTATTTCTACTTATTGCTAGGATAATTGGCCATGGAGCTTTTGGTGAAGTATTTGAAGGTTGGTTATTGATGGGAGAAGGTGATAGTTCCTTTATCGATGACAATTCATCAAAAGATAACAAATATAATGAGAAAATAACAGCAGTCAAAGTTGCTATAAAATCCTTACCATTGGAGTCAGCACGTGATTTTGGCGATGATTTTGAAACAGAAGCTCGCTTGTTAAGGTTATTTTTTCTAAAATCGTGCGTAATATTATTTTGTTTTTAGTCAGTTCAAACATCAGAATATAGTCACTTTTTTTGGTGTCTCGTTCGAGCAGCAACCAAAATTAAGTTTCAATAAACATTTGTCTTCTGTTACAATAATAACCGCTACTAATTTTTAGAGATCATACTCGAATTTATTTTACCTTTTTATTTTAGTTAATTGTGCTTGAGTTTCTAGAAGGTGGTGATCTGAAAAATTTCTTACGCGAGAATCGGCCAAGACAGCAGGTTAACTTAGTTTATCACTATTTAAGTCAATTATTTTCGCAATTAGGACCATGTAAGCAACTCCGAAGCCTTGGATTCAACAATGTTGAGAACTGGCGATCTTTTGGGATTTTCTTTAGATATAGTAAAAATAATTTAACTTTATCTTTCATGGATTTGACTTTAAGGCACGTGGCTGTCAACATCTAGAAGAAACGCGATTTGTTCACAGAGATATTGCAGCAAGAAATTGTTTACTTACATCTAAAGTGGGCAATAGAATTGTTAAGATCGCGGATTTTGGAATGGCTAGGGATATTTACAGGTTTTTATCGAATTTAATAGAGATTCATTTAATTGTAGGAATGACTACTATCGAAAAGGAGGGAAGGCTTTTCTCCCAGTTCGATGGATGCCACCTGAAGCTTTTTTGGTGAACTTTTTTTAATAATATAATTCGCAATATTTTTAAATGAGAATAAGGAGAATAGTGTTTTAATGAGAATAGTGTTTTTTGCTTTATTTTGTAGTCATTATACATAGCTTATTCTATAAAGTTTTATTACAGGATGGGTTGTTCACTTCAAAAACTGATGTTTGGGCTTATGGAGTTTTGCTATGGGAAATCTTTTCGCTTGGTTACATTCCATATCCAGGACGTGATAATTTAGAGGTTATTAAAAAGACTTGGTTTTAACTATTTGAAATAATATTTATAATATTATAACTACAATGATGCCTGAGAAACGAGGTTTCCCTTACTAAAAATTATATTACAGGTAATGAGGCTTGTCGTTGCTGGTGATCGGCTTGATCCCCCAATCGGTATTCAAGATGAGATTTATGAGCTGATGCTCCGCTGTTGGAATACAGAGTCTGAGCAGCGTCCAAAATTCGCAGATTTGGTCTGCAAATTTGAGAATTTACTTAAAGTATGTTTAAAAGTTTCAAACAATTTCATAAGGAAATAAATTTAAATTTTGAAATTTATTTTCATATCTTTAGAAAAATGATCTTGTTGCAGAACCGATTCCCCCAATGAGAAATCGTTTGATTAATGAGCGCTCAGTTTCTGGCACCCCATCAATGAGTAGTCGTGCATATGATGCTCAACCTACTAGCACGATATCAAGAGTATCTTTTTAGCATATTTATTACAAAAATTTACAAAAAAACATCACAGGCTACAGCTTCAACTGGAGTCTATTCATCAAATAGTGGGGCTGGGGCATGTAGTTCCACGTCAACATATGAAACAATGCCTATCATCGGTATTCACTATTTTTGAATTCATTTACAATTATTTTAGGCGACGGTGTTTGCCGAGCCGTATTTCCTCCATATCAGAGCTGTCAATCAGAAGAGAAGGTAAATATAAAAATGCTTATGTTTACTGTTTTATCAAATAGTTCGTACGCTTATATGATCCGCAACGGACTGAAGAAAATTGTTCAGATGAAACTGGAAGCCAAGATGAAAGTGCTGGTTAGTATATACATTCTAACATCTCATCGCTCAATTCTAGGAACTGTCAAGATACGCAATTGCCTAATAAAACCATCATTTTTGGATTCAACTCAAAAAAATGCGCATGGTTGGAATATAAAACAGGATAGAAATATAAATTTTTCATCAATTTAGTGGAGAGAGTTGACAGAAGGTGCTTTCGATGGAATCGTAGGCCCTCATTGCCCGATACGACTTTACCTAATGAACAGAGGGACCACTCATTGCCTCCTTATCCCTCGATGAGAACAACAAGATATTGTGATGATCAAGACTCGGGTATCGAATCAGCGCGTTCTTTTGGTGGGTACGCTATCCAGATTAGCGAAATTGAAAAAGCTCAAAAATAGATGACTAGTATCAGTCGAAATATTTTTACTCTCGGTTTTTATTTATGAATAATTGTAATAAAATATAATTTATTTAATATAGTCGTTTTAGATTTTTTGGATATAAGAATTATTTCCATATTATATAGGTTAATATTAATAAACTAAAATCCAGCTGTAGTATGTACACATAAGACTAAAAACAACTAAATGTACAAGCATACTATGCATACTAGCTTAAGCAAAATCAATATATGCCAGCTAGCGTGTTTAAAAGGAATACAAAATGTATGGCTTAAAAATATGTGGCATTTCTTTAAAGTTTACTCACATTGGAGATTATACGATTTCGAAATGTTAGAACAAAGGTAATGAAATAACCTTAATTAAAAACTTATTTTAAGAAAAAATGGACTTTATTTATAAATTATAATCCAAAAAAATATTTGTATAAAAATCTGGTACATCTGTATAATGGACATTGTGAATATTAACAAAGAAGCGCCTCTACTGAACATCACTAGTAAGCAAAACCCTTCTAGCTCGGATGTTTCTTTTACAGAGACAAACGGTTAGATTTACAATATAAACAAAACGTTAAATTTAGAAGCAAAATGCTAAAAATTAAACCTAGATTAAAAGAAATATATTTAGAATATATGAAATGCAACGACAATGCTGATATGCTTTCAGAGGATATGAGCAGAAGCAGCTCACAAATGGAGTAAGATATAAAGTTTAATGAATCAAAATTTAAACAACCCGGGGCGTTGTAAGGAAATATAAAAATAGCAAAATTTAGCAGCGGAAGCATATCAGCAAGGATTCGAGAACTAGAAGCTGAACAACAACAATTGAGCGAATCATTGTTGTCTTTGAGCACAAAATTCGCACAAGTACAATTTCGGATACAGCAAATTGCTTCTGCGCCAGCTGAACAACGTGAGGTAAATTTTTTTATATTTAGTAAAACATTTAACTGAAGAATGATAGTTTTAAATATTAACTGATTATCTAATGTTATACAACGTTAAGGGAATGCTAAATCAACTTCAACAATTTGCTTCTACAAGTTGCACTAATAACCGAAATCTCAGACTACAACAAATCAGTGATAATTCTAATTCATCTCTAAATGTTGTGGATTTAGAAGAAAACAACGTAAATGTTATGACAAATGATAATGCTGCTAATATGAGTCAACTTGTTGAAGAGCTGCGGATACAACTTGGTGAGTGTAATTGAAAAATTCTGAATATTTCCAAATAAATGGCAATGACAGATGAGCTGGAAAATTTCGCTTGGCGGAATGGACATCTACGTGAGGGTGATTTACCACTTAGCGAATTACGCGCAAGGCAAACTCTGGTTAGTATATATTTTCATTGATAGGGATTCTAATTTATAAGGGTGCTGGGAGATCCGTCAATATTAAATTATCAGATATTAGAGCGGCTACGTGAAAAGATGCGTCTTCGAGTTAAATTGGCTGGACCTGATGCAGATGCTGACGAAAATGAATTTCGTAAAAAACTGGATGCAGAATTGGATGAAGCGGAACGAGGATTGCTTGAAAAGGTTTGAAAATAAGGTTGAATTAGTATGACATTAAGAAAATATTTCAGGACCAATTGGTGAAACAACTTAGTACACAGGTTAGTCAATCTAGTAATAGGATTAAATTATTTAAAAAGTTATGAAAGTTGGAGATTTTATTTTAAACACATGTAGATATCCGATCTGGAACAATATGTACAGTTGTTACAGCGGGAAGCAGTGACTCTCTCCTGTCCAGGCATATTATTTATTATACATAATATTTAAATATGTATAGTCGTCATTTTCACACGATTCACTAATGCGAATAATATTTAAGATATTAGTTCTGGAACAGCCACTGGTTCAAATTCATCACCTAACATAGAAGCACAACCAGCAAAAACTAACAATAATCATGGGACAAATAACTCAATCATTAATTTGGCTCGCTACCTTTGGTATGAGAATTGCATCAACTATATTCATTTTAATTAGGCCAAAGTCCCAAGGACATTTTGAGAAAAACGAGCTGAAACGTTCAGCTCTTTGCAATCACTATGGAGATCAACGAGCAGAGTTAGAATTGGCAGTTGATAAGGTAATTTGTTCCGATATTTGTGATTAACTAAATTAAATCATAGGTGATACAGGTAATACGCAAACATCAGATTCTGAGTGTCGACCGTGAAGAGCGTGCAGAACTTAGCGTAGACGAACTTAACAAAGTTTTATAATACATAGTCTCTTGAATCAAGAAATATATTAATTTCATTAGGTTACTATGGAATGTGATCAAGAGGCAATCGTAAGTTCAGTTAGGAAGAAGCTATGCCCAGCACTGCGCGCACTTTTTGAACATGGTCTTCAACCTTACGTGGTGCCAGTAAATCAAGGAAACAAGTTACTCCCTTCAAGAATAAGTTTGATTTTTCATATACAGGGTGGGGCATAAGTTCGGCGACAAATGTTTTTAATAAAATCTATACTAAAAAAAATTTATTTAACATAAAAAAATGATAAGATATAATCAATAGGATATAATAATCATTTTATTAAAGTAATTGCTCAAAATGACCGCCCCTGACTGAAATACACGCGTCCAAACGCTTAAGGTTGTGACTCACAATGGTCGCGCATTGTTCATCGGATATTTAGTTCCAGGCCCGCTCAAAACAACTTTCAGTTTTTCCTATGTTGCGTATAGGATTCGGCATACTTTTTGCTACAGAATTGCCCAAATACAATAATCCACGGATTTAAATCCGGTGAGTTTGAAGGCCAGATATCTTTCCCCCAAAAGCCAGGAAACAGCTCCCCACAGAGCTGGATTGTCGTTTTGGCTCCATGCGCGGGTGCCCAATCCTGCTGAAGCGAGAATTGGGTTTCACCGTAAAGCTATAGAGGCCATGGATGCTAAATCCCCTTCAGAATGTCATTTTTTAGACTAGCATTAATTTTTACATTTCATCACTCTGTTGAGGCGACCAGTTGCGACCAAGCGTTTAATCTTTCGGCATTTCTGAAGCAGCTGATGCTTTATTCGATCGTTAAGGAAATTTGTGCGGCTGATCTTGTAGCTCCGAAGTCTAAGCTTCACTCTGACAATATTCGGAGGCTCCTCGATCTCATTTCGAGCTCTGAGGCCATTTTTCGCATCGATTGTTCAGAAAAACGGCGAATTCGGAATCTGACCACGTTCATGTTTTCAGGTGTAACTGCGGTTACTGGCCAGACACTACGGGGGTGGTCCTGAGTATTACCAAGCTCAAGATATCGTTTTATTGCCTTGAAAACTAACATACGACAGATATCGAGCCGTTTAGCGATGTCACATTTTCGAACATTTTCAAAATACAAAGAAATAATAGAAGCATGATTCTTTAACGCTCTGTAAAATTTTTATTTTATGAGATAGGAAAAAATTTTCAAGATGAAATTTGTAGAGCGCGAATCATATGTAGAATATGGGACATCTAAACAAAAAGCAAAATAAAAAGTAAATTTTAAGAAAGGACAAAATAAAATTTGTCGCCGAACTTTTGCCCCACCCTGTAAATTGAAAACAAATAGGTTGAAAACAATAAATAAATTGAAAACAATAAATTGAAAACAACAATACCTTATTTTCATAACTTAAGATATATTTTCAAATAACAAGCAGCATGTTAAGAGCAGCCAACATGTTAAAATTGAGGCTCGAAGATTAGAACATATTTGGGATGTTATAATTTTATTTCTAGAAACAAGTAGAGCAATAGAACTGCGAGATGGAGTTATTGGAAATCTTAGTGACACTTTTAAGTAAGTATTGCATTGAAAAAATGAAATCTTCTGGAAAAGATGGGAAATATATTTTGAATATTAAAATTTTAGACTAGAAACAATGGAGTCATCAATGCTTCCACATCCTACCTCAAAGCAAATTCTACTTTCTACGATTGAATACATAATTAATAGTCATGGACGATTAAAACGTTCTCAGGATGCTCAGTGGAAAGCATTGTAAATTAGTTGTAAATTAGTTCAAAGAAAGCATTGTAAATTAGTTCTTTGGATTTACATATAATCAATGTTTGAGATAAAGCCACATTTTCGTC